AATTAACATGTTTGTTATCCATTTATACAGCTTGAATGTGCATTGATTTTTTTATTTGTGAGAATCTCATTGTACAAAATATAAGAATGGCTTTTTTGTCAATCTTTTTGATGTAAGCATTGATATTTTAGGGAAATAAACTCGACAAAAGAAACGCACAGTCTCCATTAATTTTTTTGGAGAACAAATTTCTATTGCTTACAATTTCTTAAAAGTGTTGAAATGAGTCCAAATTTTGACACAATATTTCCGGGGTCATTCACATGACATTTATGAGATATGAATTTCTAGGTTAAGATAAATAGATACTAAACGTTTGCAATATGTAAGCTAAAACACCATCAACAAAAAAAAAAAAACGTGAAACTAATTAATATGAGAAGAAGAGGCGTGTTATTTGTGTTACTAAGTTTATGAGCCGGAATAAGATATGAAGGTTGTCCCTCGTAGAACAATCTGGAGCACTAGTCCATGAGTGTCCAGGTTTATTTGGGTACTTTTTTCAAAATTTTAAATTTGTTGTATCGGATTTTGTAGATAAACGTTAGTCGTTTCGTCTATTTTTTCGTGTCACTAAAATGTCTGATTACGGCTATTTGAAAAATGAATATTTAAGTACCTGTCTTTGTAAGAATCATGCAGGTTCCTGTTGATGGGCGATTCATGACTCCTCTTCAAATGTCTTTATATTTTGTTTATTAAGAAGGTATGGTATGAAAATAAGTTTCATATATTAATTTTTTTCTTTTGAACCTTGGTTGCCATGGAAACCATCCTTACAAAATTTGCCAAAATACGTACAAAAGTAGCCTTTGAAAATTGAAATATAAGGGATTTTAAAGAACCATTGAAATAAAGTTAATCAATACAAACAATAAGTATATTTACAGTATTGACAAACAAAACCCCAAACTATACAAAAACGTTAAAATTTTGAATTTAGTACATAGTTTGTTTCCATAGCAACCATTTAAAAATGTTTTAAAATTCGAAAATGAAAAATTTCAAAAATTGCTAAATTTTAAATCTGTTTATCTCCCAAGACCAACAATACAATTACATGTCAGTGACAAATTTTGAAAGACAACATTCTATATATTCATAAAATAAAAAGAAAGTCGTGTGTTTTTTTCTTTAAAAAAATAATTTTAATCAAAAGTTGTAAATTTTCACCAAAATTCAGATTACCAAACAGATGAATAATCAAACATTTTGAACTTAAAAAGCTAAAATATTCCATTTGTATGTGCAATTCTGACACACATTTGTTAATTTTAAACTAGAATATATGATTAATGAAGATATACTTGTACAAAACGAAAACTCATCACTCTGGGTATAGTGCACCCCCCTTTTTTTTTGGAAAAAAATCATTTTTTTCAAAATTATAAACTTTGTTGAAAAAAATGTGGAATCTTATTGTGTTAACTTGTGAACTAAGCATTTTAAGAATTTAAGCATAACAGTACTTCAATAGTTATATGTAAGATTTCTCAGAAGTTTGAAAAAATGGTAATACGCATAACCCGTTGTCGTGCCTGTAATTGATGCTGTTAGTGAAAAAGAATAATATTGAACTCCAAAAACATTTAAGTCTGTGAATAAAAATAAGAGGATGTGTTGTAATTGCCAATGAGACAACTCTCCGCAAGAGACCAAATGACATAGAAATGAACAACCACAGGTCATCGGACAGCCTTCAAAAAAGCAGAACATGATTGTCTGTAAAAAAAATCTTAATGAACAATTTAAAAAACAATTTGCCCTAGACTAAGATCTGCTAAACAAGAATGCACATCCTGAAATGTCTGGTTGGTTTTATTTATCAATGAATTACTTTTGAAACTCTGTTATATAAAGATTTAATACAAGTATCATATTAACTTAACATTATCAATGTTCTAAGAAAATGAGGTCAGGGTAAGATGAACTATGTCAGACAGACGAAAGAGAGAAAACGGAAACGAAAAATTCAGAAATTTTTCCATTTTTAAAGGGGCATAATTCATTAACAGTACAGGTGACACCAATAAAATTCAAACCAGATCTGTATTTTATGGTAATAAGCATTGTGTATAAGTTTCAAAACATTTGGTTGTGGCTAACTTAAGTTAGGGTCGGAAACAAAAAAGTCAGCAATTTTTCCATTTGTAAAGGTGTATACCTCTAGAACGGACGTACTTACGAACAAGGGTACAACTTAATGCCCCTTCGCTACGATGGGGGCATACAAATTCTACGTGTTCTATCTGAGGAAATATATACCAACGATCTATCTTAAACTGTGCAAGACTTTGTCAATGTTTGTATGGTATATGATGGAAAAGGACAGCTTGTCTATCAATTTGTTTTTTAAATAACCTAACTGAATTATTATTTGTATAAAGCAGAGTTATCGCATCTTTATAGTTCTCAAAACATATTCTCCTTGTGGGCCTTGAGGAAAATTTGCTGGTCCTAACTAGTATATACTGTTTTGATTCTCAAAACCTTAGGACCACCATGTGCAAAGATCATTCATGGAATTTTGCTCAATTTTATCAATTGCTATATTTACACATTTGTATGCCCCTGCCGTGGCGGAGGTGGCATTAAGGTTTACCATTGTACGTCCCAAAGTTGGTTTCTGTCCTCTAACTTTAGTTTGCCTCAACCAAATCTTATGAAACTTAATCACATTGCTTATTACAAGTACCACAAAACACAGACCAAGTTTGAATTTTGGTGGTGTCACTTTAACCGTTCTAGAGGTATGCCCTTTTACAATTAGAAGTATTGCTGTATTTTTCGTTTCCGTTCTCTAACTTTAGCTTGTCTTTACCAAATGTTATTTAAATTATACACAATGCTTAAAACCACCAAATACAGATCAAGTTTGAATTTTGGTGGTGTCACTTTTACTGTTCTAGAGCCATGCCTCTTTACAAAGGGAAAACGTTGCTGAATTTTTCGTTTCTTTTTTCTTTCTTTAGTTTGCCTCAACCAAATGTTATGAAACTTTTGCACAATACTTATGACCACAAAACTTACATAAAGTACACATTTGGTTAGTGTCACTTTTACCGTTCCTCAGATATATCCGTTTATAACTTTTATGATATGCAAGCGGGAGCATCATCTGTGTCCAATGGAAACATTCCGCTTTTATTTCAAGCTCTTTTGCATAAGTTAGATTCATTATATATTAGAATAGAAAGAACGGTTCTGTAGTTCTTCTTAAATTTTCAAATTTGACACAGTTAAATCGAATTAGTGACAAAAAAGTGTTTGCATAAAGGTTTCGAAACATGTCGAATTACATGGGAGGTAAATAGTAACAGCCATTATGTGTACATAATCTGACTCTGCGCAATAGTATACTAGTCAACAAAAGAAACGATACAAGGCAAATTTTCCATATATAATAAAATTGGAACACTGTACCAAACGTAAGAACTGTCCCATTGATCTAATTTTTACAGAATGTTATTTTCTTATCAAAACCACTGATTTAAGACAAAAGAACGATTTTTTGTTTTTTTAAAAATAGTCTTTTTTGCCAAAAAAATAATAATCAATATTATAACTTAAAATTTTAAACTTAAACATGGTCTGCTTAAAATTTTGATTGCCGTCCGTCCTTGTGTCCATCTGGCTGTCCGTGTGTCTGTCTGTCTGTCCGGTCCTTGTAGCGCTTTCACATGTACAAATCTTGTCAGATTTTTACGAAACTAATACTTTAGGTTAATATAAGCAACATCTCAAACAAGTTATATATTGGTGGCCAATCGACTTTTTTAAGAGTTATTACCCTTAAAAATATTAAATTTATGGAAAGTGGCCTCGTTAGCGCTCTCGAGGGTACAAGTTGTTTATTTTTCATTTTCAGTATATTTCTGATAGAACGGACGTAGTTTTTTAGTTCACCGTTCCATCACTTGGCGTCCGTCGTCGTCCGGTGTTAACTATTTCAAACATCTCCTCTGAATCCACTGAACCAATTCCAGCCAAACTTGAGCTGAATGATCCTTAGGATATCTAGAACAAAGTTTGTGTTATATTTTTTATTTTGTCAAAAAAACATGGCCGCCATGGCTAAAAAAAGAACATAGGGGTAAAATGCAGTTTTTGGCTTATATCTCAAACACTTAAGCATTAAGAGCAAATTTGATGTAGGTAAACATGTTCATCAGGTCAAGTTCTATCAGTCCTAAAATTTTCAGATGAATCTAACAACCTATTGTTGGGTTGCTGCCACTTAATTGGTAATTATAAGGAAATTTTGCAGTTTTTGGTTATTATCTTGAATATTAGTAATGACAAAGATAAACTGTAAACAGCAAAAAAGTTTAGCAGAGTAAGATCTTCAAATAACTTTAATGACCAAAATTGTCAATTGACCCCTTAAGGAGTTATTGCCCTTTAAAGAATTTTTCCACAATTTGTTTATCTAGTTTGCTTACTTTAAAAAATCTTCTCCTGAAACTGCTGAATCAATTTCAGCCAAAATGGGAGTATTTAGTATAAATTTTGTATTTTATTTCCTTGTAATTCAAGAAACATAGCCACTATGGCTAAGAAGGAACATAGGGGTAAAATGCATTTTTTTGCCTTTGAAGAAAATATGACAGATACAAAGAACATTTAAATGGAATTTTTAAGCCACTCATTGATATATATTGAAAAGCATAAATAATCATTGATGAAAGATTTAACCAAAAAAATACCGGTGATCGATTCAGGCTCTTGAGAGCCTCCTGTTTAGAGTTAAAATTTAAAGACAGTCTGAGACTAAGTTTTTTTGACATATACTGAAATAAAACTTGGACAAAGGCTAATTTTCAGGACCATGAAATAGCATCTACAAATTTCAATTTGCACAAAACAAGTGTATTTCATGTATTTAGGGACGCAGCAATCCTTCATTCAGTCATCAGCCTTTCGGCTGTTTTCTGTTGTTTGGTTGGATTGTTGTCTCTTTGACACATTCCCCATTTCTGAAAAATATCTAATATCTAAAAATGGGGAAGGAGGTACTATCATTGCCCTAACCCTTTGAAGAAATTTCATGCTTCAATGCTCAAAATGTTCAGAATTTAATACCATCTTTCTTTTTAATTTTTGATAAATTTTAAAAAAGGGGTGGGGGCACCATGCCCAGAGAGAAAAGTTTCATTCTCTACTAAAATATCTCTATCAATAATATATTTTCATTTATAGTTACTAAATTTGTGTCAGAAATGTACATATAAATGGAATGATTTAGCTTTTTAAGTTCAAAATGTTTGATTATTCATCTGTTTGGCAATCTGAATTTTGGTGAAAATTGACAATTTTTGACTAAAATTATTTTTTTAAAGAAAAAAAACACACGACTTTCTTTTTATTTTATCAATATATAGAATGTTGTCTTTCAAAATTTGTCAATGAAATGTCATGGTATTGTTGGTCTTGGGAGAAAAACAGATTTAAAATTTAGGAGTTTTTGAAATTTTTCATTTTCGAATTTTAACACATTTTTAAATGGCTGCTATGGAAACAAACTATTTGTTAAATTCAAAATTTTAACGTTTTTGAATAGTTTGGGGTTTTGTTTATTAACAATGTAAAAACCCTTATTTTAAATTTTCAAAAGGGTCTTTTTTCACATATTCAGGCAAAATATTGTTTTGATGGTTACCATGGCAACGGGCAATATACAGGGAAAATAAAGACAGAATTTTACTTATCTACCAAAGTTCTTATGATATAGGGCCAAAAAAATTACTTCTGTGACATGTCATGAATCACCCTCTGCATGATTTTTACAAAGACAGTTACTTAAAACCCATTGCTATCTGTTGTTTAAGGCTGTACTTAGATCAGATTTTGGAATTTTTGTCAGTTGTTCGGACTCCTTGATTTTTTCTTACGATACAGGGTAAAATATTTTGCCACATAAAACCCATTTTTCTTTTCATATAAGACTTCAATAGCTCATAAAAGGTCATTTACCAAAATTTAAGCAGATTCAAGATTTCTTTTCTTTGGATTTGACACCCAAATAATACCATTGCAAATATAAGGTAAAAGTCCTAGTCAGCCTTTTCCCGTCATTTAAAATTTTTTAAATATCGCGAAAAGGAGCTCCATAACCTATCAATATTGTTAGCTTATTTTGTTCCTTAACTAATGCTTTTCTGACTTGTAGTATCAATTTTAAATTCTAGATTTTTTTAATTTCACCTAAGTACATCCTTATATTAGTAATGAGGTCGACTTGACACATTCCTATTTCATTTTTCAGAGCTTTTGTAAAACCTTCCACTCACAACTGGCTGATGTACAAACTTCCGAAGAAAATACATTTCTAATTGATACAATTGAGAAAATCGAAAGATATTCTGGAACTGTTCGTATGTACTTTGATATCCATATACGTATAGGTAGTAAAAGAAAATGTTAACAATTAACTGACAACACTGAAGAGCAAATACATATTTGAAAAGAGTTTTATATAGGAAAAAGCGCTCACATGTATTTTTGTTCGTACTAATTTAAGTTGAAATATTTTTTTGGAAAAATGGTTATTCCTTGCAAAGGTTACACTTGCGAGGTTCACATCTAATTTTGTTTACATAAATGTATGTGTATTAGATAAGACAAGAAGCGATTACCTTTTTGGTAACGAGCTAAATGTTGATTTAACAGGGTTAAATTTTTCCCGTCTGCAAATCATTTTGGTTTTGATTTGAGCCGTCATCGTTTATTTTATTATATGACTGTTATTCATTCTTCATTGGTTTTGTCCACAAAATGTGACATAATGTATAAAAACGCAGCCAGGTCCAGTCGAAAAAAAGAACGTTGAATCTAATGCCTCGTGTAGGGAGAGTGACAAGCACTCTGTCTTCTACAGAACCGATGTAAAAACTGTCTGAGGGATCAGTTGGTGGCCGGTTTCGAAGTTAAAAGTCTACCCTGTGCGATATACTCTCATTTTTAATTTGCAGGCCTATTTACCATCATGCAACAGCCTTGTTTTCTTAGTTTAAGTTTTAATGAGCGGGTGTCAGACGTCATCAAAGGGTCAACTATTATATATATAAACAAAAATCATTATGCATATCATAACGATAAGAAAACCTTCTTCAGATGACTATTGGATAGACGGAACAGATGAAGTTATTGAGGGATACTGGATATGGGCGTCCACAGGGAAACCAGTATCATTCACTAACTGGCAAACACATGAACCAAACAATCAACATGGTAACGAAGACTGTCTTGAAATTGGAAATTGGAATACTGGCACATGGAACGATGCTCCTTGTTCCATTGAAGATAATTTTATATGCGAAATGGAGTAAGATATATCATTTTCGTGTAGAATTACAAGATTTAACATAATAATTACATGTACATGTATTATTTCAAAACATGTGTATTAACGTTGAATCTCTCTATTGACCAATGTAATTGAACCATTTATACACATCGCGCATACAATTAGCTAAGCATTTTAATCAAAACTTCTCTTTGAAGATCAAGATCTATTAACAGGCCAAATTAACAAAACTTACTTATTAACATCAAATTCAGAAATATCAAAATAAGAAGATGTGGTATGATTGTCAATGAGACTCTCCACCAGTGATCAAATGATGTAGAAGTTAAAAACTATAGGTCACCATAAGCCTTCAACAACGAGCAAAGCCAATACCGCATAGTCAGCCAAGAAAGGCCCAAAACAAATGTAAAACAATTCAAACGAGAAAACTAACGACATGATTTGTGTACAAAACAATAAACGCAAAACAAATATGACATATAGCAACAAACGACAACCACTGAATTGCAGGCTCTTGACTTGAGACAGGTACATACAGAATGTGGCAGGGTAAAACATGTTTGCGGATGCCCATCCCTCACTTTAACCTGGGACAGTGGTGTAAGAGCACAACAAATGAACAAACTATCAAAATCAGTTGAAGGAGCTTAATTCATCAGATCGATACAAAGCAGAAAAACAAGCAACAAAGCACAGACCGGACGTTGCAAGGATTCATACATCCCCATAACTAAAAATAAAGCACTTTTTCAAAATTTAAACACTGTATATTAGCGGGATTTTTGTTTAAAGTTGATGGAAAAAACCATTATTATACATATTTTATTCATAATAACTTACATTAAGGTTAAGAAAAACACGTCTCTATTCACGTGATGTTGCAACATTTATAAATCTGTTTTGATGCAACACATGCTATTAATATTTGTCCATATTTGTTTTATCTTGATGCCTTTTGTTTTGTAGATATCCAGCTAGTGGGAGTATCATTGGGAAATAAAGATTTAAATAAGAACGATAAAATTGTATTAATGTTAATGTATTTTTGCAATATTTTATTGAAATAATTTGAACAATAAAGCTGTTTGTTTTTACTATTAAGATATTAAAAGTCATTGGTCATTTTTTTTATTATCGAACATTAATAGATTGGTGAAAATGTTTGGTAACGTCGTCATACCGAAAAGCGTTTAGTATCATAGTGTTTTTGTTATGATTTGGTTCAGTGTTTCTGAATGAAAAAAAAATTACAAAATGTAAACAATGGATTTTTTTTATAAAATAACTTATGAAGAGACATTGCGACTGGTAAGTAACTTAAAACTATTATGTTTACAAATGCAAATTTTGTATTATATTCGGTAATACTATGACATATATATAAGGCTTGCGTACGACAAATTATTGAAAATACTAATTACATAATAATAGAATACCAACTTCTAAAAATTCAAACTCGAGTTTGTACCCAACGGATAACTTGCTTTAAAATTGGAGATTTTAAATTGTTTTAAATTCAACATTCGCTGTTAGAAAATTTTTTAAATGGTTATCTCACATTTTTTTGTGTGTTTAAGTATGATTTCGAATTCAATGAATGCAGTCATATCTTTATCTAAACAATGTGAATTTAATCCCTTTTACCGTTGAGGTCACTCATTAGTTCGAAACATTTATCCCATTTGAATGCAAATCTATGCTTATCTATTCTAAATTGCTTGTCAACAGAGACTTAGTACTGGCACCATGGATTATTGTCTGTTTTTCGTTATACATTTTCTTCTTTGTTGTAAGTACTGCCAAATAACTTGCATTCTCTTATCATAGTAATTGCTGTTTTGGCAATTTGCTATAACATTTGTTTCTTTATTTTTAATATGTCGTTCGTCGAAAAATTTTAGTTTACCCTGATCCATTTTTAGTTGGGTATGGATGGTAAGTTTGGGTTGAAACACCGTCCTAATTTCTGGTGATTCATGTTGTCCTTTTTATGTATTTTACAAGGCAATAGTTTTTTAATTTGTTTTGCATCATAACGATTTCAAAACCTACCAGCTATCAATGAAGAAAAATACACAAAAAAATCCAAATAATCTTAACATGCATTATACATTTTATAGTTTGACGTCACTTTTTAACCACAAAATCATTCTTGTTCAATATTTTATATAGAAAAATAGGAATCAGTATAACTTGTTTTTTTTAGCTACAAATTAACAAGGGAAAGTGTACATTTTAATGACTCAAATTCAGTTTGTCCCGTAAAAAATCATATATTTTTTGTATTTTCCAAAAGATTTTCTAAATTTGTTGTTGTTTGTTTGTTTGTTTTTGTTTTTTGTTTTTTGTTGTTAATTATCTCTCAGACAATCCAAAACCTACTAGTTTTTAGTTTGCTAAGATGTGTTCTGTGTCTTAGTGGTTATCGTTTGGTCTTTTTCATTTATTGCCATGGCGTTATCAGTTTGTTTTCGATTGATGAGTGTTCTAAGCTTTGATTGTATTGGTTTATGGGCACGGCTGTTCATGAAATAAAACAAAAAAACATAGTTCATTTTACATATTGAACAAATCAAAACATCGGCACACAGGAGTAGACATCTGACAGATTCAAAATGTATTCAACACGTTACATATCATCACAGTAAAGCTGCAGATTAAATTTGAAGTCATTCTGTTATGTAGTTTCCTAAAAAAAAAGAGTTACGAAAATAAGTGTTGGACGACCAGTATGAAATTACAGTGGAATTACAATTTAGGCCCCACTCTAGAGCCTCACTCCTAGAGTGTAGGTACATTGTAGTATAAAGAAGCTTCTTTTCGAGGACAAACGAGTCTTTCGCCCGCCTGCCATCAGAAGGTAAACGACAGACAGCAGTTTAACAATATGTGAAAAAAATCAATGGTTAACAGGTTTGCAGACTAAAGTCTAAAGTACAGGTTTACGGCTATTTGTTAAATGCCTGCACTTTTTCAAAGCCTCCGTAATGATTCTTTATTCATGTCAACGAAAACATAACTCGAAACAATGTGAAGTACTGTTGATTCATTTATGTTCGTGGATACCAATTTTCGTGGATTGAGGAAAACTTGTATTTTCGTGAATATTTGATTTCGTTGATTTTCCAAAGTTTGTATACAGACCCTTAACAAAATGTGTACATCGTTGAACATTTAAATTCATGATTTACCTTTATGCACTAAATCCAATAAAATTGTTATCCCACAAATAATAATGAATCCACAGTCTAATCTGGTCAGTGTGTTCGTCTTCAAGGCAGTCTTTAGTTGTGAATGAAAATGTTTCCGGTCATTCTGTACTTTGGCACCAGGTATGCACAGTGATCTAACTGAGTATTCAAACAAGGGAACACGCTGCTTCAGGTTGGTACCCCCTGCAATTAAAATGCTTCTAAACCTTTTCTTAAATGTAGTGTAAAAACAAACTAAAAAAAATACCAGGCTTTAAATTTTGCCGGCAGACCAACATGTTTTATTTCAAAGTTGCTATTGAAAGTGTTTAATATGATGTCTAAAAATAGTAATTTTGTACGAATTTTATTTTATAGAGATTTTTGTAGTTTATGTAAACAGCAATGTAAATTAACGTTTCGTCTACAAAATATACATCAGTGACGCTCGAATTAAAAAAATTTGAAAAGCCAAATAAAGTACGAAGTTGAAGATCATTAAGGGCCCAGAATTCATAAAGTTTGTGAAATTGTAAAAAATACTTGATCACTAAGTAAAAAAAATCTGCATCAGTACTAACTACTACAAAATTACTAGAATACATGTAGTTCTCTTTTTCAGCCTACTGTATGCGCAGAAGGTGGTAAGATAACTACCACCTGTATATCCAAATGTATGACGCAGCCCTCGAACTGACTGTATTCTGTATTAATAAAGAGCTTTTAAGATATTTACTTTTTGTACAACAGTTATTTACAAACATGTTCAATGTATCTTTAGAAATAATTTTGGTCCGAAAATATATACAGTCGGTGTAATTTCTGGTTCTCTCTCTCTCTCTCTCTCTCTCTCTCTCTCTCTCTCTCTCTCTCTCTCTCTCTCTCATACACATATATAAATATATTATCTCAAAAATACGATGCCTTATTAAAGATTGATTGATTAATTGGTGTTTAACGCCACTTTCAGTACTATTGTACTAATTCGTGGTGGTCAGTTTTTATTGGTGGAGGAAGCCGGAGTGCCCGGAGAGAACCACCGACCTTCGGCAGGAAATTGACAATCCTAGACAAGTAAGATTGAAGACGTTCGACTACCTAAACAACTCGGCCACCAGAGCCCTATAAAAGAGTAAATGTAATATGCTAAATGGTTATAATTGAGGTCAGATATGTGCACGTCAACTGGAACGAATATGATGTGCAATTCAAACTATTTAATAAATTCAAATATAAAAAAATGCTACCGCTTCACAGGGATAGCCACCATGAGTTTGTTTTTAATGTTCAAGCTATTGCATCATTTACAAAAATAGTAATGACTGTGTTAAGTAGTTAGTTGGTCATAAAAAAATACTTAAGGGGATCACACATTTATCGTTTTGATAAAGTTAAATACCATGTGGTACCTTTTTCTAATTGATTTTGTTGAATTTGGTTGTTAATTGGATCCTTTTATTTTGGTTTCATCATCGACGCTCGTATATATAAACTACTTTGAAAATTAAATAAAGATTAATTCCCTCAGACAAAACTGAGATTTTGCTATTTTTTACGGTCCCCTTTGATCATTCATCAGCTTTAATGGCTTTATATATTTGAATTTGAACATTCGTGATGAAAGTTAACCCAGAACAGCTCATCATCCCTGCCTGCAAATCATTTTGGTTTTGATTTGAGCTGTCATTCTTTGTGAAATTTTATTATATAAATTGTGATTCATTTTTCACTGGTTTTGTCCACAAAATGTGACATAATGTATAAAAACGCAGTCACGTCTAGTCGAAATAAGGACGTTCAATCTAATGCCTCGTGTAGGGAGAGTGACACGTATTCTATCTACTACAGAACCCCTGTAACAACTGTCTGAGGGATCCGGGAGTAGCCTGTTGCGAGGTCAAAAGTATGCCCTGTCCGATATACTCTCATTTTTAAATTACAGGCCTATTTACCATCATGCAACATCATTAATATCTTAATATCAGTTTTAGTCACTGCGTGACATACGCCATCAAAGGGTAAATTATTATATATCAAAGAAAATACAAATCATTATAAGTATTATAACAACAAATAAAACCTTCTTCAGATGACTATTGGATAGATGGAACAGAAGCAGTTATTGAGTGATTCTGGGTATGGGCGTCCACAGGGAAACCGGTATCCTACACTAACTGGCACCCTCATGAACCGAACAATGTAGATGGTAAAGAAGACTGTCTTGAAATTAGAAACATGCACAACTACTACGCATGGAACGATAATCTTTGTTCGCATGGACTTAACTTTATATGCGAAATGGAGTAATTTCGTGTTGTTATGTTAGGTTGTTAACGGTACAGATGTACAAAATAAATGACAAGATCTCACATTATTATAACATGATTATATTGGTCGAAGTAACTGAACAACTTAATTGACTCTATGTCAAACGTACACTTATAAATTCTGCTCAAAACTGCTCTTTCAAAAACAGGTCAAATTAATTAAAATCGACTCATGATAACAACATATACATAAAGCAGTTTTTCATAGTATTGAATTCTGTATATTGGCGGAACTTTTGCTGATAGTGACTGCCACTATGAAGCACCAGATTGTATTTAGAATAACTTACATATACTAGTAGGTTACGAATAACCTCACTCTCATCACGCGATATTGCTTCGTTTATAAATTTGCTTTGAAGCAACACATGCTTGAAACATATGTCCATATTATTATTTATTTTATCCTGATGCCTTTTATTTTGTAGATATCCAGCAAGTGAGAGCATCATTGGAAAGTAAAGAATTAAATAATGTCAATAATAATAATAATAATAATAAGAATAATTATTATTATAGATTATCGTGGATCATCGCAACGAGATTGATTTTCTCGCTTGAGCCGGGACGGCGAAAGCG